CCTTGCTGTGCCCAAATCTGTCTAGGACAAATGGCATGTGCTACTGAAATTACTGAATTAGAAATTACTCAAAGTGATGAAATGTGATTCTAAAGAAAGAAAAATCACGTTTTCTTTAGGAACTATACTGAATCTTTGGAAAGACTCAACAAAGGCAAGCCATTAAGAAGCTCACATTAGAAGGGATTAAAAACTACTATTAAAATTGATGTGAGGAGTTCCTTAAAACTACAGAAGGGTCCTGTATTCACATTTCATCCCATATTACTTTGGTTTTTGCTCTGCTTGAAAGAAACTTACACTGGAAATCATAGGCTATAAACAACTTACTAATTGTGGTAATAAACACCTGTATTTGGCTCTTCCATGAGGCAGATGCTGCCCCTTTGTGTATTTTATGTCATCTGATCCCGCCAAAGGCAAAAAGCAAGCAAATTTGTTCCCTTGAGTGATTAAATAAGCTAAGGCTCACGAGAGTTGATGTTAAGTGATTTCCCAGGGTCACATGGCTGGGAGACTGGCGTTCAGCAGGCATAAATTCTCCACCTGTTTGTCTTCAAAATATATACATAGCTGCACTTCCTGTGCTTTGCTCCTGAAGGGTAAATCCTGAAAGAAAGGAGTTGATCGATACAGGTTCTGAAGTAACTCATCAGGTCTCTATCGTGAACAAGTGGCCTTGCATAGAGATAAGGTGGTATGAACCCAGAAGATGCCCCAAGCTCCAGCCTCCTTTCTTCCTGCTGCATGAACCTGAAATTTTTCAGTCCACACATTTTAGTGGCTTTTACTAAATTTTCTAAAATTCCATAAATGATCAAAGAAGTTGCTGGGAAAATCTACATGTCTAAGTCAGGGACAGACAGAGATGTCTAGGAGTGTGGACTCAGCAGGAGTTGCTTCATACTTTGCCAGATGACCAAATGGTAACCGTGGCCACTTGGTGAGCACCCGCTAGATGTCTGGTGATTTCCATAGGGTAGGGGAAGTTAAAGAACTCTCTGGAGCTGAACTGGAAGGCAGACATCTCATTGAGGAGCAGGAGAGGCTCAGGGTTCAGAGTTAGGGCTGGCTATGGAAGATGTGGCTCTGAGGACTGTGATTCTCAGGGAAACCAGGCAAACCCAAGGTTCAGAACTGGTCAAAGTTGACAGCAGAATAGCAGGCCCCGAAGCCAGGGTGGAGTGAAGTCAGTCTCTGCAGTGCAGTAACTAATTATGTCATTTGTCAGTGTGGCAAGGATAATATATATTCTTTTAGAAATACTGAGAACTATGGAAAATAGAAGAATGCATTCCACATGATAAATCATTTAGTATGCTGTATCTTTGAACTTTTTTCTTTACAGAATAGGACAATCTACATTTGCACTTACTATCTGGTAAACATTTTACTTACATTATTAAAATTATCCTATGATGTTATGTTTAATGTCCAAGTAGTGCTCCAGAATTGGGAAAATGAGGATACTAGAATCTACCTCCTCTGGGGTCAAATTCCAACTCTGCCATTTCCCAACAGAGGGACAAAACTTCTCTTGCCTCAGTGATCACCCCTACGTTCTCACTCTCACTCTCTCTCTCTTAAGGATAACAGCAGAGCTCCACTCCTCAGCAGGTTGGGAAGATGATGAGAGTGAATGAATTGATGGTTACGCACACTGTCACATGAATATTAAATTGTGTGTATGTTGAACCCAGAGCCTTTACACATGGCTACATACTCAACTCCTTTAAATTTTTTTTTATATGGAGACAAGACCTCACTAAATTGTTCAGGCTGGGCTCAAATGTAATCTTTCTGCCTCAGCCTCCAGTGCTAAATGACAGGTGTACACCACATTTACTAATTGTTAACTTTTATAATTACTGCAATTTATTTAATGAATTCTTTATTCTTAGACATTTGGGTTTTGGGGATTTTTGCAATTATAAATAAGATGCAGAGAACATTTGTTTTATCTATACATAAATCTATGTGCTTCTCCATAATTGTGCTTCCACGTGAATTTATGAAATCAGAGGATATACAAAATTTCTAAGCACTTCATATGTACTGTCAACCTGTTCTTCAGGATATGTGTATTGACTGATAATTAACTTGATGGTCCCTTGAAGGAAGCTGGTTATGAGATTAGGAGACAATTCTGAGTCGGGATTGACCCCCGAGTCTGCTGGGGGATGGACCTGAAAAGCCATGCTGGGCATTAGCTGGAGAGTAGAACATTCTAAAGTCCATTCCTTAGCAACTAAAAATTGACACCTTTGGTTTTCCTCTAATTTTAGCTTTAAAGTTTGTTGGCCCCTCTCATCTGTATGCCCAGGTGAGACACATGATCTGGTTTTCAACTTTTCCTCCTCCACCCATCATCAGTGAATAGCTCCTGAGGCCAGGGGAGTAGAAACCCTCCAGTCTCCAAAGGGAACAAGCACCAGGAGAGGCACCACTGGCTCTGGGCAGGAGGGTCTGGAAGGAAAAACAGTGAGAATCTGGGATCAAAACCCATTATAGGGTTCCCTGCTTTTCTTAATATTTATGGGAGTTGGTTCAGTCTTTACTAAATATTGGAGCATTTGAAGAAATGAAATCTCCTAACACAAAGACGCTCTTACAATTGCAAAATGCATATTTCAGAAATTTAGAAAACAAATAGAACTAAGTCTATAACCTAAAGAGAGGTAAAATATCCCAGATACCAATGTTTAGAAACTAGAAGTGAAAAAAAACTGAGTAGTATGCTTTTAAAAAGGTATTTATTAAGCAACTGCTTGTTTATGGACACCCAAAAGGAGGAAAACCAGTGCCAAATTTCAGGTACATGAGAGCTACAGTAAGCTTTTCCTTAACATTTATACAATCTTATAAAGAAAGAATCAAAAGTCAAATATCATCAGTAATATTTCTGACACATTATGGCAACATAAATCAACCAAGTGCAGTATTAAGCTCTATTCAAAATACACCACAGATCTGTGAAACAACGCGATGTTTGGACATATTTACAGGAGCCATTGTTTTCTACTATACTAAGCCTACACGGCTACAGAGGAAAATATAAATGGTGGTGTGGTTTGAGCCAGAGACATATTTTGGATTAGAGACATTGAAACCTCAGGAAGTCATTCAAGCTGTCCTTCCCCAGTACTTTCTCTGTGGCTGGGCAAAGAGGAAGTCTTCTGGAAAGAACATCTGTAAACATCCTGGCAGAGCTCTCTGAGCATTTATATGCTGTATGCTTTTGGAGGGTGTTAGTGCTTTGCCAGTTTTAAGGGTAACCGGTAGTGCTTAAGCAAAGGTACATGCAATGCTACAGCATAAAATAATAATTGGAATTCCAGTAATCAGTCTAATAATGGGGGTCATAAACATGATATTTTTTTTTCCCCTTAGGTATGATAATCCTGTTCACCAAAATAGCTAGCTGGTACCACCCTGCAAGAGTTTGACTTCAAAAGGAAAAATAAAAAACAAACCTCATCCGAATCTTCCATCTCACCTACCTTAAACTTAGATTAGTGGTAGGATTTGACATGACTGAATTCATTTAATGTGAGTAAATGAGTCACATTAGCTTAAAGCAGGGAGCCTGTCGCCAGCTTATTGCTTTCTATTGATTTGACCAGTAATTCATTTTCTGGATAAAAAATATTTATGTTATCAATTCATTGAATTAACATTTGTCACTAATCACTTAAGTAAATTATAACTGCAGCTATTTTGACTAGTGTTGCAGTTTAAATTGCAAAGAAATCATAGGAGACTCATTAGCAAGGAACCGTGTAAGATGTGATTTGCCTTTTAATGACATTATCTTTCAGTTATGTTATTTACAAGAGATACAGTGTTTCTGAAAACAGAAAGCTCTGTTCTACTCACTTAGACACTGTGACTGCGAATTTTTATGTATGTAAATATGTATGTCCCATTTTAAAGATGTACAAAAAAGACAAAAGAGTATTTTCAGGCACCAGTCTTGCAAAAACAAAAAAAAACTCACAGTTTTTCTTAAAACATGAAATTCAAGTATGTGGATAAATGAAAAAGAAAAATAGCTAAAACTGTTAATGTTGAACTAAGAATTGCAAATTGTAATGATTTCAGGGTTTTAATAAAAACATTTGCATGAAAAAAATTGGAATTTTAAGTCCAGTCCCATCACAACTTTCACTGCAATAAAAAGTTGACTATAAAATGGCATTGAAGATATGGCACTAGAAGTGTTTCTAAATTTCACTACTACAAAGTCTCTCATTTAAATAACTCATAGAATAAATGTTTTCTTTAATTATTAGAAAATTCTTGTTCAGGTAACAGTTACTTCCCGTAGAAAAAGCAGTCACCCCTTGATAGACACAGTGTAAGGTGTGGTGACTGGAAATGGTATGTAGCCAGGAAAATGGAAACGTAAGAGATTTTAAAAAGAAACCTATTTCCTTACTTTGCCTACATTAATAAAGAACACTCTTAAGTGTGCCTACAAATTTTACTGGTTCGCATAGGAGCAGCCCAGCTCAAATTCATTTTGAGAAAAATGCACAAAACAGTGGGATGAGCAGCCCTTTGAAACAGTGGGAAGCCGTTTGATACCTTGCCAACTGGAGACATTCGCCTATTTTTTTTTTTTTTTTTTTTGTACTGGAGATTGAACTCAGGACCTTGCACTTACTAGCAGGCACTTGTGCTGCTGAGCTATATCTTCAGCTACCTCATAATTTAAAGATATTTATCAGATGACTACCACAACATAGCATGTAAATAACTGTGAGTTCACTCAGGATAAAGAAAATTCTTGGCTTTTTAAATAGAATACATACATTAAGTGTTGTGAAATAGTAGACTCTTAGAAACAATTTCCCGCAGAGTAATTTCCTTTTTTCCCTGAGTCTTAAACAATATGCAGAGTATAATGATATAAAGAAGTTGCAATGTGTGTAAAAACAAATGGTTTGAGAAGACAAATGTCAAGGTCCCTTCTCCAAACATATCCTTTGTGCTTCCAGACTGAGCAGTGAAGGGCAGTGTGGTCCTTGCTGAAAAAACTATTCCCTCAAAGTGAGTCAGACCAAGACGGCAGTTGTCACACACAAAACAGGGAAGTTGTCCAGCAAGGAAGGTAAGCATCCAATTAGAAGCTGGATTTATTCTTATGGAATTAAATGTACCAGTGTACTTTTTTAAAATATTGATGTACTCCTAAGAGTTAACTGAGTAATCAGCTTGTTAAAGTTCTGCACTTAAATCAACTAGATGGTGCAGTTTTAGTGTCCAAATGGATTTTAGAAGTATTTCTCTAGAGAAATAATTCTAATTATGATTGTGTGTTGATGTTTCCAAAATAAATTATATCAGTTAATTATTTCACCATGATCATCTTTCCTTTGGTGGATAAAAAATAATCATGGTGGTAATTTCCTAAAGTGATTTAATTAATTCTGTAGCTAAACCAATAAATTTATATAGAAACTGCTTATATGACTTAGTACAGTATTGCAAAAAATGTAAAGAAATTTATAAAGAAATCAATTTTAGGACAATATATTTACATGCAAAGTACTGGCTATATAGGGAGAAATGCCAGTGTAAATGAAAATGTTAGCTTTCTAACCAAATGTACAACATTTAGTAGAAGGCATCTACTCATTATACATGAGGAGGAGGAGACCGGATACTCACGGAAACATCTGTCAGGTAAGCAGTGACACCTAAACAGCAAAACTAGTCTGCAGACAAGACAGAGTGTAGATATTTTGAAATAAATGACTACAGGATTTTAAAGAGTTGTGAATGTCAATAAGCAGTAGCATTTGTGGGATTCTGAGTTGTTCATCTGGGCCGGCCTTAACCTTTTGAAACGTTTCTGTGGTCGTTAAGTGTTCTGTACGCTTGCCAGAGTAAGTCAGAATCATTCCTTTATTCAAAAACCAAAGCGGTATAATTGGCTTAAGTACTTTTGTTAAGCCAAATAAGATGGCTTGAAATTGACTATGGTTTTTATAAAATATTTCCTAAATGTTTAATATGCGATTAGATATCTTCAAATGCATCTTTTATATTGCATTCCATTCCATTCAAAGCATGATCAATAGGGCATTTGAGTGTGATTTTTAGAGTTAATCTTTCAAAATTTTATGATGCTAATTCACTATAAAACAATTTCAGATAGAGGGTATTTATTTCCAAGTATTGTATATAAGATTATTAATAATTCTGCATAATCTCTAGAGCTGTTCTATTCAGTCACCCCTAGCCACATCTGGCTGTTGAACACTTCCAATGTGCTTAATAGAACTGAAGAAATAAAATTTTAATTTAACTGATTTTAAATTCAAAATCTGTTTTAACTATTAGAGAATTTTTAACTTAAACAAGTTGGTGAATGCACTCCTAACAAGTTATTGAGTCTACTTTTTATCTATAAATTTTATGAAATCTAAATACATGAAGTATTACTGGTGAAACTGAATGTCTAACTTCAGTGTTCAAAAACTCATGGTGAAAAAACAATATCAACTTTTTGTAAATCCATATATTTTGATTATATGTGCCTTGCATTATGTCTCTCTTAGGCTGTCCTACTCTAGAGCTTTGTAAAAATTGTTAGTTTTTTAAAAGAGTGTTTTAAATTTTTTATTTTAATATTATTCTTTTAGTGAAGTAACTTTGAAGAGTGTGGAAAAGAAAGTCAGGTTTAGTATTTCCCCACCCAGCAGGACCCTGTTTGCCCTCTCTGCAGCTCTTCCTTCTTCGATTTGCACAGTCCTCTCCACACCCGCAGCAGAACGTGAAATCACAGGCAGTGGGAATGCAGGAAGAGCATGAGAGAGCAGTGAAGGGTGTGCAGTGGAATCAAACTGATCACACCCTACGGGTTCTGTCTTTTCTTTCTTCCAGTTTCTTCCAGATCAGTGTATCCCTAATTCCAATACTGACCTTCAGCTTCCTCCAAGTTCTGCTGTTCTATGGCTTCTGTTTAGAATAGTGAATGATGACTGTATTCAGCAATATGTCTGGTCATGTGTTGATGCTCGACTTTGTCCAGGCCCGAGAACTTTCATCTTTCAGAGTGGAGAGCTTTCTCTGGGAGAAGGAGTCACATCCCAGCAGTTTGAACACTGCCACGCGATACTTCATGGACATGATGTTGTACAGAATGGGGTTGATGGCAGCGCTGAGGTAGAAGAGGACAAATGACACGAGGTTGCAGTACTGGCTGATCTGAGCAATTTCCAGGGAGCCAGGCTCAAAAGATTTGGAAAATAAGTATCTTCCTACGTGGAAGGGTAGCCAGCAGAGGATGAAAGCAAACACCACTACAGCTGAAAGGGCAATGGGAGAGAGATCATCAGTTCAAGAAATGTTGCAACAAACAACCATTCTACGTTCAAGACTTAGTTTTGTTTTAATTACATATACCATGGCCACTGAGAAAAGCTGCATTCTTCTCTTGTCATAGAGCAACAGGGGGCGCTGCTCTTGCCCTTTCCCTCATTTTAATGAAGACTGAGACTTTCCAAGTAACGGTTTGACAATTCTTACTGTTGCTTTACTTCCAGGCATCTCTATTTAAGGATTTGTTTACTTATTTTGTGATTGAGGTGACATATTGACTCAACTGATAGCCAATTTGTTCACAATAACCCACCATTTTACTTGTGTTAGACACAACACAAACATGTATGCATTAAAGTTGAACTCAACCATACCTGTGAACTACAGTTTCCCGGGGTACTTTATTTTTCATAAATGCAGATTTCTTGGATTATTATAGACTCAGTAAATTAAAATTTCCAAAAAGGAGATGAAGACATCTGCCTTCTTCTCTGTCTCCCTGTCTTTCTTTCTCTTCCTTTATTCCTTCCTTCCCCCCTCCCTTCCTTCCATCCTTTCACATTATGTTTTGATATGGTCTTTGCTAACACCTTAGCCTCCTGAATAGTTGAGTCTACGGGTATGTGGCACTACACCATTTTTAAAAAGTTTTATAGATGATCGGGTGTGCAGTTAGAATTAAGAACCACTGAGATGGATGGTTCTATATCACTTACAGTATTTATAAGGTCTGAAAGGTCATTCAGCCAACCAACATTAATTAATCCATCCAAGTCTTTATTTTGCCCATATTTTTAAAAAGACTTTCTCATTTTCAGATTAAATTTTTAAAATTCAGAAACCAGAGGAAGGATAATCAAAACAGTGTTTTAGCCCTGCTATCGCATTAATACTTTCCTTGTCAAGGAAAAATTAACATTGACAAAGAATTTAATGGCTTTAAAAATTGGAGTAAATTACTAAATGTATCCTCAAAACTAAGTTGCATAGTAACAACTTAATTGCCATGGCAGCAGTGTGAACTCATATGTAAGAGTTTAGAGTCCCCTAGAGGATACAAATAGGTTTACAATTTATGAGTCGTAATGGGAGAGTCAGTGGTCTAGAAAATAAGATCTGACATTCCTTGAATAAACTTTATAGTTGTAATATGCAAGACCTAAGAATTGTAAAATTGTAAATAGGGGATCATCCTAGAATAACTTCTGAGAAACATTAAATATGTCAATAAATATGAAATGCTGATCATAATGTTCAAATAATAAAATATACAGACTCTAGCTTTTAAAAAGTGAGTAGAATTAGTATTTTGCCTGCATAAAAACACACTTGTATCATTTCATCTGTACCAAACACATATCCTTAAAGAAGTTGATTCCATGGAATGAATATTTGACACACTTTACTTGTGCCGCTGCACACAGGTGCTCCTGGAGGGCCCTCGGCGGAGGGTGGTAAGTCCTACCAGTTTCCTGGCCTACTTTTCTCCTGCTCGGGTTCTGTCTGGCCTAGCTTGCCCTGCCTTCCCCAAGCCTATGCCACCCGGAGAGACAGGAAATCACGAAAATAAATAGAAGGAGACCCAGCACTGATTTGTCTCTAACTGTTTTAGAAAGCCACACAAACAGCAGCCGAATAAATGGAGTTGATCCAATTATCTGAAAAACTTCAGCGCAGAAAACAAATCATATTTTTGATAAAAAATGAATAATCTCTAACAAAATCACGTTTTCAGTTACATTCACCACTGCATAGTTTTGCCATTTGATGCCTGCTTTTTCTTCCTGTCACTTTCTTCCACGAATTCTGTTTGAGGCAGGCATCTTAACCGCACCTTTAACACTTAAGAGACCACAAGACTTTCATAAAGCATCTTAGTTTCGAAGCAAGTTTCTGGGCTCATAAAATTCATTTTGGGGAAATAATAGAACCATGACGAAGAGAAAGAAGACAGAGGAAGAGACAGAGAGACGAAAGATGCCAAAGAAGAGTCAGCACAACATGGGGGGGGAGAGTTGAGAGACAGAGAGACAGGAGCCAGAGAGACAGGAGCGCGAGCATCCCAAGAGGAAGCAGACTCGGGCTGGCGGGAAGCCGGGCGCGGGAGACTCACCCAGCATTTTCACGGTTTGCCTGTGGTTCTGGTCCCTGAGCGAGGCGCTCACCGCCGCATCGCCGCGCCTCCGCCGCCACAGCTTCCTGCCGATGAGGCTGTAGAGGACAGTGAGGCAGAAGACCGGCAGGAAGAAGAAGACGCTGGACACCCACACCATGACCGTGAGCAGCCCGGAGCGCACGGCGAACTCGGTGGGGCGGCACTCGTTGGTGTCCCGAGGGTCGGTGCCGTTCTCGTGCTCCACGCCCACAAGCACGAAGATGGGCCCGGCGCTGCAGAAGGCCAGGGCCCAGATGACCAGGATGACCAGCTTCACGCGGCCCTTGGTGACCACCACCTTGGCCCGCAGCGGGAAGCAGATGGCGAAGTAGCGCTCGACGCTCAGCGCGGTGATGGTGAGCACCGTGGCGTAGGTGCAGCTCTCGCTGACGAACTGGAAGAGTTTGCAGAGCAGGTCGCCCAGGTTCCAGGGCCGGTACTGCCAGAGGCGCACGAGGTCGAGGGGCATGCAGAGGAAGATGAGCAGGTCGGAGAAGGCCATGCTCGACAGGTAGAGGTTGGTGGTCGTGCGCAGCTCGCGAAAGCGCGACACCACCAACATGGTGAGCAGGTTGCCCGCGACGCCCACCACGAAGAGGGCCACGCAGGCGGCAGTGACGCCCGCCAGCAGCGGCGCGGGGAACAGCGGCAGCAGCTCGTCGGCCAGGGAGTCGTTGCTGGCGGGGCCGTCGCAGCCCCGCTCGTGCAGCGAGAGGTTGCGCTGGGGCTCCTCGCTCGGCGTCGCGTTCCACATGCTGCTGGCTCCGAGGCGCGACAGCTGGAAGGCTGGCAGAGCTGATCCCGGCTGCGGTCCCCCTGGGAGCCGGGCAGTGCGAGCAACGAGCGGGCGCGGGCAAGCAGCGAGGGCGCTGAGGAGGCGGGCGGGACGGGAAGGAGCCCCGGGGGAAGAAGCGGTGGGAGGGAAAGAGACCAGAGCAAGAGGCAGAGACAGCCACCCGCGCTCCCTCTGACCCCTCCCCTCCGCCACCCTCGCCTCCACAGCCCTGTCCCCCAGCGCGCCTCCCGCCGCGCTCACGCGCCTACCTGTCACCGAGCCCGCAGCGCGCACTTCCCGGAGCGTCGCGCTCGTGGGCTCTGCAGGGAGAGGCGCGGGGAAGCCGGCGCGCGAGGAGCTCTCTCCGGAGCCCAGGGCGTTAGTGTGGCCGGGAGGGCGGGTCACTCCGGGAACGGGGTGGGGGCGGCGGTGGCGGAGTGAAAGATGCTCTGCAGTACCCGGGACCTGAGTCCTTCCAGAAGGGGAAGGGGTGATGTGGACCTGAGGGGAGAAAGAGGGAGAAGGCCCATCCCGGTGGACAGCGTGTGTGTGTGTGTGTGTGTGTGTGTGTGTGTGTGTGTGTGACCTTGTGTTTGCATTCGGACCAGGGAAGACAGGTGTGCGCCTGAGAAGAGCGTCACACAGTGTGGAACAAACCATCTTACTGGAGAGAAGTAAATTAAGAGATGTGACCTTTTGTCCAAGGTCCCACAGCAAGGCAGGGGCTCAAAGACCCGAGAGGAATCACCTAAGCGGTTTGGACTTCTGAGTGCGTTGGGGGCAAGTACTATGAGTAATCTTGCCTGAAGTCCCAGTCCTGTAGCTCCTTCAACTTGATCTTGGCAGGGTGCACGTGGTGCGGAAGATTTCCTTTGCCTGGTGCAAACTGGGGAGCGGCAGAGTAAGGCAGGGAACAGGGACGAGAGGAGCGCGTAGCAAGTAAGTGGGAAGGTGCGAGGCGGTGAGAGGGCTCACGTCGAGGATGCACAGTTCTTTGCTTCTCTCTCTCTCTCTCTCTCTCTCTCTCTCTCTTTCAAGGCGTGGTTAAGATAGGTCAGCTATTTAGTTTCTGTGTTCCTCTGGGAAAGATCTTCGGCCTTGTGAGCTGTAGTTTTTCCTTTGAACTCAACAATTCTGTGAGTAACTTTCAAGTAAGCAGACACACTAGGCATTCAGTAAGTGAATCCCTGCCGCGGTACTGTTATTACGCTTGCTGCTCAGAGGGAGCAGTTGCAGCAGGTGGGAAGGAGTCGGAGGCTTCGACTACACTTGTGAGGCCTGAGACTGTATCCACTACCTAAGACTAGGAGAATCACAAACCCAGCCGAGCTGTCGGGCCGCAGCCCCGGGGGATGTGGTCAGAACCACGGCCAGCTCCTGGTCCCTTCCGGCGCAGCTCCTCCAGCGAGCTGCTGCGTTGGTCCTTACGTTTTGCAGTCTTTCGGTTCTGCCCCGCGGAAGCACGGATGGTGCCTTAACAGCATCTATCTGCGTTCATCCGCTCTGGTTTAAGTAAGAATCCATTCGTCGCGTGCGAGAGCTTTACACGTTCTGGAGTGCTCATGCCTTGACTGGTGGTTACAAGATTTCTACTACCTGAATTGTTAATCCTTAACAGTCCACGAGACCCAAGACTGAGTTGTGCACATGCGTATCAAAGATTGCACTCAGCGAGAGACTGAGTGGGAGAAGGTTGATAAACACACTTCACAGGTGTCACTGGTGTATG